TCGAATGTTCGAACCGCAGCGCTGCTTCGGTGATGAACATCCTTCCGACAGCTCAGGGACAAACTGGATTATTGAGATTTTGTTACATGTGACTTGGTGTGGGCGGGGCTTAATTACACCTGGGCTCAATGTGGCTTTATGTGTTTGCAACCTTTCATGTTCATATCTGAGCAGTATCTCCAGCAGTCTACTGACTGATTTGTACGTGACGACTAAAATCAGTCTGTCGAGTCCACTGACTCCACATCTGTGGTTTCCCGTCTATCCTGTCATTGTTTTACGCATCTTATTCAGGTAATCAGCTTTGTGCGTTACAGAGGAGCTCCGGTTCGTCCTTTTTTCCGTGTCAGAGCTTCTCCTCTGTGACGGGTTTGGCTCGTGTTAACCGTCAGGTTCGTCTTCATCTTTAACTGCAGGTATTCACATCAGAGAGCGCGGGGAGAGCAGCGCTGTCTCCATCACCGTTTGTTTTAGTGTTGATCACAGACTCCCCTCAGACTCATCGCAACAACAAAAAGACATCATAAGGCTTTGTGTGCATGCGAGGGGGAAACTGAGTTTTAACCTTAGTGCAATGCATGCTGGGAAGCTGGAGATCTAAAGACCCGTGAGGGTTGTAAATGTTGCTGTGATACATTTATATTATGATTTTTGTTGCAATAAATTTATTGTACAATTTTTATTGCTTTCAATTTACTTTCATTTAATATTAATCTGGTTATTCTGTACGTGTTCAGAGAAACTAGGAGCACTTGGCTCCTCTACTACCTGTTTTTATCATTTTATAGGAATGTCAGGTTTTCTATTCTTCACCAAAACAGAGTTTGATAAGAAAATGTATTCTTCTGTTTAATGAGCATAACATTAGACAAAGTGTTTCTCTTTTTAAGAATAAAATAAGTCTATATTATAAAATGATATTCTATTGTAATTCTATAAGCTGCCAGAAATTGTTTAGCTGTTATTTTTTAATTAGGAACCGGAGGAAACCTGTTTGGCACCTGTGTAGAATCGATCACATATACGGTATGAATATAAAACATATAGTACAGGGAGTGCAGAATTATTAGGCAAATGAGTATTTTGTCCACATCATCCTCTTCATGCATGTTGTCTTACTCCAAGCTGTAAAGGCTCGAAAGCCTACTACCAATTAAGCATATTAGGTGATGTGCATCTCTGTAATGAGAAGGGGTGTGGTCTAATGACATCAACACCCTATAT